AATACAATTTCTTCGCATGGTCCCACACATCTTTGGCAGTGTCAAGAAACATGAAATTTACACTAATCCTGGGTTCCATACTATTCCATAACCATGTGATGATCTGAGCATCCTCTTGCTCCCAGTTTTCATACTCGTGAGAGTCGGTGGAGGGTTTCTCCTCTCTTATGTGTTTTACTTTCTTCTTTGCCTTCAAAAAGACTTCGACGGATTTAGCCCAAGGCACATAATTCTCTCTATTTAGTTTAATGAAGGTCATCTGAACATTCAAGTAGTCTGTAGGCACCATCACATTAGATTTACAATCACTGTTATCTCTCATTTTGTTATCACCGATTCTGCACACTTGTTGAATTCTATTATCACTGAATTCTGCACACTGCACACGACTATATCACACTTGTCACACTGATTTCAGCACTTGTTGTTGCTGAAAATTGTACTCTTTACACCACAAACCCTACTCCTACGGCTACCTGAAATCTCACCACTATATGATCACAACTCTTCCTTCGAAATACACAAAAACAGCATAAACCCTAGCACGCTACTATCTGAAACCCCAACATACTTCCTATTTGATCCATAACAGAAATAATGCATAGAAATCTCTTACCTTATCACTAAAGGAACAACCACACGAGCAGAAAATCAGTCCACACAAGACAGCCACAGCACCACACAGATCGACCCTCTTCTCTTCATCGATTAGGGGAGGGCTTCTTAGAAACCACAGCAACCAACCACACAAGACACGACTGGAGGCATAGAAACCTCCAAGGGGAGAGGGCGATCACTCCTTTTCAGCCATTTCCCTTATCTCCAATTGAATGCAGGAAAATCAAGAGAAACCCTAGACTGGGTGCGCAGAGAATAGAAATCTAGGCAGACAGAAATCTAGGAAGATCTGAGTTGCTCTGATACCATGTTATGATTCGGCCTGCCTTGGAGTTCTATTCCTCTGAGATCAGTCACGTAGAGAGAGGTAGAAAGGTGGAAGAATGAGAGAGAGAGAAAAGGAGAAAGTCTGGCTCGAACTGGAAGTCAAAAAACCTGACTCCCATTCGGCCAAACATGTGCTTTTATTATTAAAATAAATGGAAAAGACATATGTGCCCTTATTTAATCAAGGAGCACTGGTTCTAACATAATATTACAGATCAGCAACCTTAATATAAGTATAAAGATAGAAATACCCCTTACGCTAACAATCTTAAATCCTTCCTTCATACAAAATTTGAGATCAAAGATCTAGGGGAGTTGAGGTATTTCCCTAGTATTGAAGTGACTCGATCTAAGGATGGAATCTTTATCTCTCAGCACAAATATGTGCTAGACTTGCTCACTGAAACAGGCAAATGGGTGCAAGACCAGTGACTACTCTTATTGATATGAGTCACAAACTTTCTGCATCTGATGGAGAACTGTTGAAGGATAAGGGAGTGTTTCAAAGGTTATTAGGAAAACTACCATATCTTTATATGACTCCGCTTGACATTGCATATGTTGTTAACTGCATTTTCCAGTTCAAGCATGCTCCCAGGGACACTCATATGGAAGTAGTAGGACGGATTTTATGTTACTTAAAGAGTACTCCTGGGAAGGCATTCTTTTTTGCTAAGCATGGTCATATGAAACCGGAGGCTTACATAGATGTTGACTGGGTAGGCAACATTGATGATAGGAGGCCAACTTCAAGATACTATAGTATGGTGGCAAGTAATATTGTTTCTTGGAGAAGCAAGAAAAAATATGTTCTTGCTAGATCTTCAACTGAGGTCGAGTATAGGGCTATGGCTAATGGGGTTTCTGAGTTACTTTGGCTTCGATCCTTGATGGAGGAACTAGGTGTTGAATATGATAAGCCATTGATGCTATATTGCAATAATCAGGCCACCATCAACATTACCCACAATCCAGTGCAACATGATAGGACTAAGCATATTGAAGTTGACAGGCATTTCATCAGAGAAAGACTGGCTTCTAGAGAAGTTTGTCTACCATTCATTACATCAGAAGAACAAGTAACTGACAATCTTACCAAATGAATCTCCAAGGCCAAGCTACAACATGATACTGGCAAGCTGGGCATGATTGACATCTATGCTCAGCTTGAGGGGGAGTGTAGAGAGGATGGGCCGAATGGCCCATAGGCTGTTCTTATTTCTCTATGTTTCTATTCTTTTTGTTAATGAGCCTTTACTAATGGGCTTTTATGTTTCTTTATGTTTCTTGTTTAATTAAGTTAATCGCCCAATTAAGGCCCTACTTGTAATTACGAATAATTTGTAATTATTTTTAATGAAAAGATTAGGGAAAGGGAGAGAGGTTCGAACAACTCTTCTCCTAAACCTAATCACAGCCAATCACTTCTTCTTCTTCTCACTTTGCTGCTGATATCCACCTTATTTTCACACTTTTAAAATCAGTTTTCTCATTCTTTTGGACTGTCTTTCTTCTGTTATGATTATATATTTTAATTTGACATATAGGCATTTTAAAACATTTAGTTTAAAATTAAAGTGTATTTTTTAATTAATACTATTTTTAATATTTCTTGATTTATTTGTATTTTTTTACATTAACCTCGCCTTGCACCTCAGGCACAAAAAGCCCTTTGTGCTTTTCTTTTGCACCTTGCACTTTTAAAACACTAGCCTTCTCCCAACTCTATGCAGTTACATGAATCTTGTTCTGTTATTCAACCACATAGTTCCGTTAAGTGCCAGTTTAGTTGAAAATCAATTAACAGGAATTCGCAAGCACCGCTATGCAGCAAAGGATATGCTGGTCCAGTCTCCACTTGCTATTCTACATATACAGTTCAGAAACACAAAAATGGTGGCATATACCTGCCGCTTGACTTGGAGCTCCTTACACGTTGCCTCTGCTTCTTTTACATCTGGAAGAACCTTGTTATGCATGACACCTTCATAATGAGCTTTCTCCTGAGATGAAAGAGTATAAAATTTAGGATATACCAATCTCCAAAGGAAATGATAGCAACTAGATTTGCAAGCAGAAAGAGAAACCATCTCTAGTGAACGCAGATCTTCTTCAATTTGCATCAATTCCTTCTCTGCTTTCTCAAAGGCATCAATGTCCCCTTTTGCCGACTCTACAATTTTGTCAAGGACATAACGAGAAGTAAACATCAAGTACAACAACAAAAATAAGAACAATAAGAATGATGACAATATAGAATGTAATGAAGATGGGGGGGGCTTCTCAAATCTTCATTTACTTGCAAGACAAGCATTTACTTGCATACCACATAAATTCTCAAATGATGATTTTAGATTGCTTGCTTTTACTTCTGCTTCAGTCATCCTTGCTTGGAGATTCTCTAATAACACTTCCTTTTCTTGAATTTCTTCCTGCAGTTTCTACACACCATTCAAGAAAGAAGACAAAAGTGTAAGCCAACCACCAATTACATAATCAAGAGTTGCCACTCTTAGATGACAAGGGAGAACAGACCAAAATTTCATGCTGGAGCTCATCTACATCAGGTGTGGGGAGCAAACTCTTTTCAGCAACATATGAATTCCTCACATCTTGTAGAGTTAGTTCCTTGATCTTTAAATCCCTCTCTGCATTTTGGCGCCGCCTCTAAAGGTAGTAATGAAGAGAAATGGATGATTAAGTTAAAATCTTGAGTATAGTATGCCATGTAAACTGATTACAACAAAAAAAAACTCTGGTTGAATTGAACCATGTATATGATTATTATTCTAAAGTAGAAGCCTAGCAATCAAGTGTATAAAATATCATTCAATCCTCATATTCAACATCAAATAACAAGAAAGATTGTTTCATCAAGAACTTCTTTCAAAAGAAAACAGCATTCTGATATAGGTGGCATTTGATAACGCTTAAACAGCATAAGTCTGAAAAACTTAATTTTCAGACTTCTGGCCAGTTTGAAACATTCTCTAAACACTACGTCTGAATGAAGAATTAAGATCTGAAAGATTCAGTCATTGGACTAGCACAGAACGCAGTTAGACACATTTCAGACAATGGCCAATGACTGAAATGCCCCTAAATAATTTCAAAATGACTCAATTTTCCCACTTTTAAACCCAAAATTTAGCCCTAGATACCATATTCTCCACTTGAATGTTGCTGGCGTAACCTTGTTCTTGACACCACTGCTCGTCGTCATCAGCCATGACCATGAAACAGGTAGGTTTCTTCCACTTTCACCATTTTTCTTCCTACACTTTTCTAAGCTGCTGCTCTTTTTTTTTTTTTTCATTTTTGGCAGTGGCTTCAAGCCCTAGAATCACCTTCTCCTCCACTTGAATGTTTCTAGTATACCATTGCCACTGCTCACTGTCGTCAGCCATTAACAAGTAGGTTTCTTCTGTTTATACACAATTATTCTTCCTACACTGTTATCCGCCACTGCTCATTGTTTTTCTTCGTTTTTGCAGTGATTCCAAGCCCTAGATGACCTTCTTGTTGAGTTCTGAAACAGGTGCATTCTCCACCATTCTCAACTGCTATTTTTTGTTTCTTTATTTTCATTTCATTTTATGAAACTAGAAGTCTTTGGGGTGGGTGTGTGTGGGGGGGAGTTGAATCCTATACAGGGGTTTGGCAGGGTTTTGGTGTGATAAAAATATTGTAAATGTCCATTTTATTTAAAAGGGTTTTGGTGTGTGTGTGTGTATCAACCAATCTATTTCCAATGCTAAAATAGTAAATTTGACATTCTCAGACGTTGGAGAATTGCTCCAACTCAAAAGATCACAATTTTTCACTCTCTAAAAAGCATAAAAGCATTTCTGCTGCTTTTCAGGGTGCATCTTACACAACTTAGAAGAGCTGAAGAGTCCACACAACACTAGTTTGGAATGGATGGTTGTAAAGGGTGGCCAAGTTTGATGGAGTTCAGGGTGCATCTTACACAAATGGACAAAAATCCATTTTTGTAAAGAAACCCCAAAATCCTGGAATCTAGGTTCTAGAGGGAGTGCAAATAGACCTGTCACGGGCCAGACCAGGCTGGGTTCGGGTCAGGCTTTGCCTTTACAATAACAGAAAATGTTGAGGCCCGAGCCCGAGCCTGGCCCGACGATTGGGCCTAGGTCTTGAGCCCAAGTAGAGCCCGAGCCTAACTAGAAATTTGGAAAAAAAAGATTTTTCCTTTTTAATTCAATTAAAAGTTGTTTTATTTATACTAAAAGACCTCAAAACCTAAAAAATAATGAAAAGTCTCATTATTACTTGAAAAAAGAGAAGAAAAATATATTATATATATGCTTTTTTATTATATAAAATATATTTTATTAATATAATACATTATCAAGTCGGGCTCGGGCTTGGGTTGGGCTATTCTGAGAAAGCCCGAGCCCGGCCCAAAAAAAAAAAAGTCGGGCCCGATATTTTAGGCTTGAGCCCGAGCCCACAGGCCTGAAATCTTGTCCAAGCCTGACTAAGATCGGACCAGCCCGTCGGGCTACCTAGCCCATGAATAGGTCTAAGTGCAAAGACAACATAGAGTTTTCAGATCAGAAACACTTAAAAAGATTTGCAGTAATTCAACATATATTTATATAATCATTTTGGGAGAGTTGAATCGGGCAAAAGAAATGAAAAACCCTAAGACAACGTTAGTCTAATAAAATTGAATATATGGCAAGAACACAGCAATACAATGACTGTAAAATTTGAAAAACCCTTGTCAAAGGATTCGTACAATTCTAGCATATTCACTAAGATCAAACCAATAGACCACCCTGGACAAAACCCAACTCCACTTGCCTAATCATATTACATGTTTGAAATATATATATAATTCATTTGAAAAGAAATCCATATAGCATACCAATAGTTTCTATCCTCAAATATAGTATGACCCACTTTGTCACCTAAACCTTTAATATGGTGCAAGAAAAGTTGATACCAAAGAGTGGAATAGAATGCCTAATGAATAGGTATTATAGCATCTTTGAACCTGTTATTGCATCCTTTCTTTTGAATAAAGCAAATATGCAGGCAGAAGAGCAGCGACCAAACCAAAAACTAGAATGTTGTGCAATCAAGAAAGAACATCTGCACAAAGTAAATTAACCAGAGGTGTGGATGGTGGCATGGGAAAGTCAAAAGTGGCTAAACCAAGGACAGAAATAGAAATAAGCACATCTATAAGCCTAGGCTTAGCACAATATCTGACAAGATGATGGAAAGTTGACTAGGATTGTTTATGATGTGAATAGGAGACCAGCTGCTGTGTCACTGAGAGAGTGATATGATGCAGATTGAATGCTCTAATTTCTACAAGAGAGACAAAGGTTGAAATAGGTATTGGTTGAAGCAGACTATGAACTCAGAATTTAAGAAAAGATAATGGTGCTTGAAGAAAAGAATGAGAAAACAGGAGAAATATAGCCAGCTGCCAACCCCAGTTGGGAAAATGTTTTGTTGAGTTGAGCTTGAGCGTATAAGAGTAGTAGGGCAATAGCAGCAAGAGTTATTACCTTTATGCTTTTTATTTTCTCTTCAAGATTCCAGAGACTTTGCTCTGCATTTCGTTTCTTCCCCCTGCTTTCTTGGGCTTGTTCTTGTGCCTTTAATGAATCTTTCTCCAAATCTTTAATTTGATCATCAAATGAACTGCTAAGTCGTCCACTTCTAATTTTCTTGTTAGGAGGGAGAATTGTCTGGACAGAACCACGAGAAAACCTAACAAGGCATTGGAACCAATTACTTCTTGATATATATTGTACCCAACCATCTAGAGAAGTTTGCAATAAGAGGATAAAAAACTACAACATATTCAAAAGATAAAAACTAGATTGTGTGTGTATATATAGGACTAACTTTACAATTATTAAGAACTTTATTGCACAAAAGGAAATATAAATACAGCTAAAAAAGGAACTAGTGTCACCATAATGATGATGATGATGATGATGCAAGAGTAATGAAGATGATAACACATATAGGTGAGAAAGGTAACAAGACCTCTAAATGAAAGAAAGGGAACTTCTAATATAATTTCCAGCAGTGGCAAATTTTCAGTCTTTGTTAGCTAGCCTAAGTTCCTAAATGGTTGAGCTTTTGGGAAGAAACCCAAATAGTGTGAATATTCAGTTTAACCACAAGCTCAAAGGGTATCACTCCTTAGTTGTCCCATAATTCCCCAACCTTGTCAAAAAGATTTGCAAGATAATATAGGTGAGTCCAATCAATACTGTATCAATCCATGTATGACATAATAAGGTCATAGTAGACTTATAGGACCTTAAGCACGTAGAGGAGTGTAGTAACAACTTACAATGTAGAAACTTGTATTTGTTCATCTTCTATGATTTCAGACATCACACTAAGAGCCTGTTCGTTATCATTGAAATCTTATATCTAAAGTGATTCTGTACAAAATCTCAAGACTTCAAAGTGTTCAGTTGCCAAAAGGCTGAACGTTCTAGAGTTGTACGAACAGGCCCATCATTCAATTAAATGGCAAAGTCAATTCTTGTTTTGCCCTTGGTTATTGTAGAAAAGTGTTGTCACAATATTTTGGGCTTTTTGGGCCTGTTATTACTGTTACTTTATGTTTCTGTTTGTCCTTCCTTATTAATGGGCTTGGGCCTTGTTATTTTATCTTTATGTCTTATAGATTTTTGTCACATGTTAGTCACATGACCACTTAAGTTACAACAGCCCTATTAGAGGCACTGATGTAATTTGCTTCACATTAGTCCTTGAACATAAAAGTAAGTAGGAGACTAACAGTCCCCAACGATCTCTTCTACTAACAGAAGTCTGTGGTCATGTGACCAACTGTTTCTTCTGAAAACTCACAAAAAGTCCGTGGTCAACAACTGTTGTCACAACCATACCCATATTCCAAACAGGTGCATACCCAATTCAGGTGACCCATGTGGAGTACGGATCCGAATAACAACAAAAACAATAACAAATTTTAGATATGGCTAATAGAAAATGAAATTATTATAAAACAATAATAAAAAAGTTAATTACATAATAAAATCAGAAACCATGTCTTTTTTAATTTTTTAAATTATTTTACAAATTTTCTATTCATATATTATTTATTTTAATAATTAATTATTAAATTAGTTATTTTAATAAGTAACAAACATATTAATAGTTAAAGTAATTATTTTGTAATAATTAAAATAAATATTTTAATCATTAATTGTCACATAATTAATTTCATTAATAAGTAATTATTAAAGTAATTTAATATTTAATTTATAAACATAATTAATTGAGCTTTTAATAATTAAAGTTACTAATTTTTAATTAGTAAAATATTTACTTTCGATATTAATTATTTAATTATTCAAAAGGCACTAAATTATCACTAATGATTACTAATTAAATAAATAACTTTTAACTAATAAAATAGTTATTTTAATTATTCGATATTAAATAATTACTTTAATTGTTATTATAATTGAATTAATTAATTATTTTATTTATGATAATAATTATTTACTAATTAAATATTTTTTCATTTACTTATTTTAATAAATTTTTATTCATTTTATAATGTTAATTAATTTTTAGTTTAAACATTATACTATTTTTTTAATTATCTATACATTTTTTTATCACTTTCACTATTTATTAATCATTTAATTAATTGTTAACTAATTTAATAAATAGTTATTCAAACACACTCCTCCCCAAGGTTAAAATCATCAATTTTCATTTTTCAAAACTAAGCATTTAGATTTCAAAACAACATTCTCTGCATTCAGATATCAGCACCAAGAAAATTTCACTAACTCCCATGCATCTCTTAAAATAATTATTACTATTTCGACTGCTGCTACAGTAGTCCGAACAGGAAGAGGAGAAGAAGAAGAAGAAGAAGAAGAAGAAGAGGAAGAGAAGAAGAGGGGTCAGTCGAAAATCTGATGGTTAACCCATTCAGTCGACCCCCTTAATCTATATTAGCTTCTAATCATGTTTACAAAGACAGAAATGCCCTTACTTAAGTGTGGGGCAGAGTAACTCTAAT